GTCTCCCTCCCTCCCTCCCTCTCTCTCTCTCTCTCTCTCTCTCTCTCTCTTTTCTTCCATTTTCTGTAGAGTTCTCATTCTTCGTCCTTCTCTTTTCAACCCTCCTAGCACCCACCCCGTTCCGAAAACCGTTCGCACTTCTCTCACAAGAGGTGGACTTGGCTTACGGTCACGGTAGGTTGGTTTTCGGGCTAAATCGTCGCGTAAATGCTTCGGTGTATATGGATAGCATGGATTTCCTTTTGGAATTGGGCTCACGAGCGAGCGAGTGAGAGTTTGTAGATAAGGTAATCCGGAACCTCGAAAACTCAGCCGGACTCTAAAGCACCCACCCCATCACTTCCCCTCTTCTTCTTCTTCTTCCCTTTATCACTCAGAGAAACCATGTACACATTACTACATTCTACCTGCGAGGAGGTGTTTCCTAACTTTACGATTCCTTTTTTTTTTTTTTTTCTTTTTTACAAATACATAACCTTAAAACGATATCTCTGCTTTTTCCCCATCCTGAATCCTATACTTTATTTTGCATAATTCTACTCCAGACCGATTATTTTAATGATTTTCTTACCGTTAATTTGATATTTTAGGTATTTAAGAATTGAATTTTCGTGATTTTAGATGAGTAATATTGAACGTTATAATATCTAGCCTTTATTAAATAAATGAATTTGCTTATCAACTTGATAATAATTGAGAAAAATTATATAATTGTTCTACTTTGACGAGCAATTAAACAAAAAGGTTCGATGCAAAACAATGTATAGCAATTTGAAAAAAAAAAACAAAGAAAAAATAAAAGAATAAAAGTTTGATCCACGAGGGTGAAAAAAGGATCAAGTAGGTACACTTGAGATGGCTCCTGCCATTATTAAGAACTTTTCTTTTCCCCCTTTTGCTTATTTTTTTTCTACTTTTTCTCTTTTGACCACTCGAGCAAAGTCCAACAACACAGCTCTCACCCTTATTTCAAACCACTTCGATCGTACGGGGCAATTCGTCTCGAGTCATCCGATCGATATGTCCATTTTATTTACTTTCATAATTTCATTCGGGATATGATATAGGATCGGTTTTAGTTATTATTTCATTATTTATATATTTTATATATTTTTATATATTGTTATTTTTTATATTTATATATTTTAATTTCTATTATTATTATTATTATTAATATTATAAGCTAGAACTGTAATGATAGAAATGATTTTTATCAACGTATTGATATACCTAATTGATTCAATATTTTATTTTATATCAAGGACATAGATATTAAGTTAGTGTTCTTTAATAAAAATTGCAATAATTCTTTGTCATTACTTACCGCTTAAAAATTTTTTTTTAATTATTATATATTGACCAATAATTAAGAAATTCCATATTTTTTTCTCTTACTTACATCGGTTGAATAAAAATTGAAATAATTTTTCTACCATTCGTTATTCGCCCGTATCAAAATAATTCACAGATATTTTAACAATCGTACTTTTATCCTACTACAAAAAATTCACTCACTCGTATGATTAACGTCGCGTACGAGTAACCAAAATTTCGTGTAAAAATAATTTTATTATTATCGATAAAAACGAGCAATGAAATACTATCTGTCTCGATTTTTCAAAAGAATAATAACAAAAAGTAAAAGAAAAAAAATTGACGTATGGGTTATTCGATCGCTCTTTGTCACAAACGAAAAAGAAAACAAAAAAAATTAAAAAAGTAGGGATGAGAAGAGGGGAAAAAAGAAAGGAAAGAAAAATTATTATAAGGGAGTAAGAAACAAGGGTCTCTCGATGAAAAGAGATGGAGAAGAAGAAGAAAAGGGTTTAGTTTTTCTTTTAAAGATTACGAAGAAACGATTGATCGATCGAAAATACGGTAACCTCGCGCGAATTTGGTTGTAAAACTTTTCCCATTATAGTCAATATGCATTGGACCACTCTCAGTCTCATTCACTCACTCTCTATCTATCTATCTCTCTCTTTCTCTCTCTCTCTCTCTCTCTCTCTCTCTTTTTCTCATTCTTTCTCTTTCTGTCTTGTACGTTCGAAAGGCGCAAAAGGCATCGATGCTGAGAGTTGTAAAAGGGAACCGGTTAAATCGCGCCGACGACCTTTATTGCCGTCTTAAAGCAGTTAAGTTAATCCGGATCGAGAAAGGAGCTGCTACGTGGGGTGGTTAGTGTTACCTTTAGAAAGAAAGAGAGAGAGAGAGAGAGAGAGAGAGAGAGAGAGAGATAAAGAGAAAGAGAAACTTCGAGTGAAATCGCACCCCGTAGAAATCGAATCGGCTTTTGGTGTATCTCGCCTTGGAGACAAAACATTAACATAAATCACGAAGTAGGTTGGTGGAAAGTAAGTAGAGGTTTGGAAGATGAGAAAGAAAGACAGAGAGAGGGAGGGAGAGAGAGAGAGAGAGAGAGATAAGGTTTTAGAAGTTGGTAAGATCGAATGTTTATTCGATTCACATTTCTTTAGGAAGGGGCTAAGATTTAATGTATATCTTCGTAGTTATCTTAGTCATGGTTCCTTAACTATACCTAAATTACGTACCGATAATTCGAACATTCCGTTCCTTTTTTTTATTTCTTTTTTTTCCTCCTTATCTCCATTTATTTTAACGAAAATGATCTTTTTTTTAGAAAGAAAGAGAGAGAGGGACAGAGGGAGACACTTATTATGATTAATTAGGGACGAGTAATACAAGCATTTTAGAGATATTATAAAATAGACATTTATTTAATAATACTAATTCTCCAAGTCACTCAAACACTTTACCAATTTAGAGAAAACTCTTACTCTTATTCGATTAGAAATATTAAGGTGAACGAACTTGTGCCAAAATAAAGATGACTCGTGACTATTACGTTTCGACATTTCTAATATCCAATTAAAAAATAAATAGGAGTATATAGAATGGAAGGAAATAAAAAGACAATTAGAGGAGAGACAAAATTGTCTCGTCGTTTTATCCAATTAGAAATATTAGGGTGAATAAACTGTTGTCAAAACACACACACACACAACAATCTACTCTTAAATAATTCAGTTCAAAAAATTTAAAATATATTGAATAAATAACTGAAAAAGGGTAATAGATAAATATAAAAATGAAAAGAAAGAAAAAAGAAAGAATAATAAACAAAATAGAAATACAAAATAGAAATGTTGATTTGGGGTGTTAAAAAGGTATCACGCACACGCACACGCACGCGGGCGTGCATGAACGAAAAAGAAATGGATAAGAAAGATAAATGTGGTATAGTAGATACTTAAAGTCCGAAAAGGGAAAAAGGACTTTTCGAGAAAAGCCCTAAACGAAGTTTCGAACGAACGAACAAGCAATGGTACGTCATTGGTTGAGTTCGGATTCGCACCGAGAGACTCCGAGTGCCGACCCTCAACTAGAACCTCAACTCTTTCGCTTTTAGCTCTCCGAGAATTCGATGAATTGCCAGCCGCTACGGCAAATAAATAATGCATTTAGTGTTTGCCCCCGGTAAAAGGGTCCGCCCTTAAGCGTTTCTATTCCCGCGGATCGACCCTAAATTTTAAATCGACTTCTAAAGGTACGAACACATCGATATACGTTCATATAGATACATATACTATTCAAGTATAACATTTTCTTCATTCTTTTTTTTTCTTAGCCAATATGAAATTATTATATTTTTGGAATACTTATATATATATATTTTTTTTTTATTTTATATAAACAATTTTTATATATTTATCTCGAGGTCAAGTTATTGGGGGTTGCTGTTGTTTTTTTTATTTTCTGTATTTAATTGTAGAAAATATAAAACGATATCTTATAGATAGAATGTCTGAGATGTTTCCAAACAAACACCGTCATCATATACTATGACACGAATATATGCTAGAAAAACCGTAAAACATCGTGTATATACCGTACTACTCTTTTTTCTTTTATAAGAAACGAAATAGTATACAAACAAATGAATTAAATTAATGAAATAAAAAGTATATTAAATGTCAATTAAAGTTTTAAGACGATTAACGACCGATTTCCACCTTTTACCAGCTCATCCCTATTTTAAAAGGTACAATCTAACGTAGAATAATAGTAAACTTTCCAAAAGTTCTGTGTACCAGGTATTGATATAATATTAATCCGACAATAGAATTCATTATCTACATCTAACCATCGTTCATTTTCTCAACGCTAGAACACAGAAATAAATTGTGAAAAAGGATTTATCGATCGATCGATTTATAGATAAATCTTTACAGAAATTTCAACGAAAGAGAAAAGAAAGATCTAAATTTGGATAATCTTCGAACGAACAGATAATATTATTATTATTATTATTATTATTATAACAAAGCATCTGTATAATGCATTGTAGGATAATTTATCCGTTTGAAACATCGATCGATTATTGCCAATTCAAAGAAAAAGAATAATAATAATAAGAAGAAGAAGAAGAAGAAGAAGAAACTATTGTACGTAGAAATCAATTATATTCGTGACTATGATGTAAGAAGATATCTCCAGGTAAGATTTTCTACAATATTATATCGAGAGAGATTGAATTTATTAATACACGATAATAAAAAGGAAAAGGGGTCTCAGCTCTTTTCAAGCTTACATTGTTTCGATTTCCATTTATATTTCAAAGTCTCCCTACTCTAAAACAATTGTTCAATTTTATGTCAATCGCGATGAAGATATTCAATCATACAATTATACTTTTCGATATTCAATTAAAAAAAAAAAAAAAGAAAAACAAGAAAACAAAAAGAATAAAAATAAAAATTGAAAAAGAAAACAGACTCGTTATCACGAAACCTGGGGTATAAAAGGAAAAACAAAAAAAAAAAGATAAGAGATACGCGTACGAATATAATTCTAGTGCATGCATATAGAGTGAATGACCTGAAACCTTTCTTTCCGAGTTTATTAAAATGAATCTATCGCGAATTCGAAATAGTCATTTCGATTCTCCAACAATGTCTAATTGTTTTTTAAATATCTACCTGAAATCGATGCCATTTATGATTGCGTAGGAGCTCGAGATGTTGCAGCCTCGACGAAAAGATAAAAGTTGTCATTACCTGAAACAAACAAAAATGACAAAACACGTTAATTATTTATTTAATCATTGTTTTTTTATATATATATTTCTTTAAAATAAGTGTATTAATTTAAAATCGATGATAATAATAATAATAATAATAATAATAATAATAATAAAAAAGGAAAAAAATAAATTTTAAAAATAATACAAACGAATAAAAGTACTCTCGAACGAATAACAGGAAGAGAGATCGACCACATACTACATGTATATTTAATAAATAATAATAATAACAACAGAGTGCGTGTACGATGCGTTTTACGTTCTAAAAAAAGAAAAAAAAAAAATATATATATATAAAGAAAGAAAATCAGGAAAGGTGGTATAACGAATAACAGGAAGAGAGATCGATCAGGACCGTATACATCAAAGCGATAATAATAATAGAGTATGTACGATACGTTTTATGTTTGAAAAAAAAAGAGAAAGAAAAGAAAAACATAATACAAGAAAAATGAAGAAGAGAAATGAATAATAAAAAAGAGAGAGAGAAAACAAAAAAAAAAGTGGTATAATGAATAACAAGAAGAGAGATTGAGAGCGTCGACATTTTTATTAATTACTTTTGGTAAAGAACGAGAACAGTAATGGTACCTAGGAATCAATTAGTTTGGGGGAGGGGGGCAGTTTATATTTTCGATACTTCTTAACGGGTATAAATGAGAGAGGAAGAAAGAAAAATAAAAGAGAAAGAGAAAGAGAAAGAGAGAGAGAGAATGTTCATCAATCATGGCTAATCAATAGCGCGAACCTCAACGAAGAGGAGGACCCTGCACTTTTTCAACGACTTGTAAGATAAGCGTGCTGGATGATGGCTAAAATAAAAAAAAAAAAAGAAAAAACGAAAGAAAGAGAAAGAATAAAATAAGAATGAAAGAGAAAGAAAGATAGAAAGGAAGAAAACTTTCTTATTAACACGATCAATCAAATCACTGTGAATTTAAAGCATTTTTCACGATTTCACGGATTTCTGAACAGTATCTCGGGGGTAAGGAAAGGGAACAGTAAGAAGAAAAAGAAAGGAAGAGAGTGAGAGAGAGAGAGAGAGAGAGAGGGAGAGAAGAGTGAATTTTTCTGAGGAGGGCGTGGCGAGAGAAGTTTTTTGCTGGAGCAACTTTTGCCAATCGATGGAGGATTAAGAAGCGACTTGCCTTTTCTCTTTCTCTCTCTCTCTCTCTCTTTTTTTTCTTTCTTGCTCTCGGAAGCTAATTAGCGAGAGGTGCGCGAGAAAAAAATAGCGTTGTACCACGAAATTACATCGGCATATCCCACGCCCTTTTCATCATATACTTCGTTCCTCTTTCTTTCAAGAGAAACGAAAATCAATCATTTTGTTACATTTTTGTTTTTAACTTGACAAGAGAGAAAAAAAAAAGAATTAGAAAATTTCTACCTGGTAAA